TCCTTGGGTTTCTGAGGCAGTATCACTACGGAAGTAGATTGCCCAATCTTCCTTCTGAGGAGTGGCTGGTGGGTTTGAACCACCAGCCTTCTGGTAGTAGTCAAATGCCTTAGGACCTATGCCACCAGAGCTCCCTTATTGACCTTAGCAACTGTCAATTTGAAGGCCCCCCTTTCTTTTTTCTTGAAATTTAGTCAGATAAGTTTTGAGCTTAACTGAGTTTTCTTCGCCATGAGATTGAGAATGCATAGGGAAAGTCGATAAATAGAATTAATGATTTCTGAAGAGCTCATGTGTAAGAACTTTGAAGGTAATATTAGACATATTAGACTTTTGTTCTCAAGGTCACCATTTCTGCAAATGTTAGTTTTTAAAAGCATTGATCTGTACTGTAATATAAGCACAGAATATACTTTAAATTGTCTCTTTTCATATTCCACACACAATATCCACATCAAAGTTAAAGCCATGGATCAAATATTGTATATACAATATTGCATGCTCAGCAATGGTCTGAATTCAGTTAGAAAGATGTGATTGACCATAACTGCACCACTTACTGAGATAAGTGAGTCTCAGTTATCTCTTCTATTGTTGTCAGGTGTTGTTGAGTCTGTTCCAACTCATAGCAACCCTATGTACAACAAAACAAAACATTGTCCGGTCCTGCGTCGTCTTCAGAATGATTGCTATGTTTGAGCTCGTCTTCCTCTTTTTTGCTGATACTCTACTTTACTGAGCATGATATCCTTCAGAGATTTCTCCCTCTTGATAACTGAAAAGAACCAAACTCACTGCTGTTGAGTCAATTTGACTCATACTGATCCCTCCTTGGGTTTCCAAGGCAGTATCACTATGGAAGCAGATTGCCCAATCTTCCTTCTGGGGAGTAGCTGGTGTGTTTGAACCACCAGTCTTCTTGTTAGCAGTCAAATGCCTTAGGCACTATGCCACCAGAGCTCGCTCCCTCCTGATAGCTTATCCAAAAGGTATGTGGGACAAAGCAAGCCATCCTCATATCTAAAGAGCATTCTGGCTATACTTCTTTCAAGACAAATTTGCTTTTTCTTCAGGCAGACCATGGTACTTTCAGTATTCTTTGCCTACACCATAATCTAAAGGCATAAATTCTTCTTTGGTCTGCCTCATTCATTGTCCAGCTTTTGCATGCATATAAGGTGGTTGAAAATACCATGGCTAAGGTCAGGCACACCTTTGTCCTCAGGTGACATCATTTTTTGCCTTTAACACTTTAATGAAGGCTTTTGCAGAAGATTTGCCCAATGCAATATGTTATTTGATTACTTGATGGCTGCTTCCATGGGTGTTGATTGTGGATCAAAGTAAAATGAATCATTGACACCTTTAACATTTTCTCAGTTTATTATGATTTTGCTTATTGTTCTAGTTATTTGTCTCATGTGTAAGATGAGGAAAATAATAGCAACCATTTAAAAGCACAGGATTATTGTAAAGATTAAAGGCAATAATCTCCAGGAAATGCCAAGTACAAGTGCCTGGCCTGCTCCTAGTATCCAACAAATGTTAGTGTTCTTATTACCAGGGTTGCTATTCTTGAACTGTCTGCATCACATTGATTTTTCCAAAAATGATTCTACTTTCCACTAAAGTGTCCTTTACCCTCACTATCTAAAAAGAGGACCAAACCAAAACCAAACACACTGCCACTAAGTAGCTTTGGACTCATAGTGACCCCCATTGGGTTTCTGAGGCTGTAAATCTTTACCGAAGTAGATCTCACAGTCTTCCTTCCATGGAGCAGCTGGTGGGTTTGAACCACTGACCTTTCAGTTAGCAGGCAAGTCCCTTATCCACTCTACCACCAGAGCTCCTTAAAAGGAGAACAGTGTATGTAATTTTGCAGTATGTCTTTGAGGCAAAAGATTCACATTCTCTTGCTTCAAGAAATCCTTTGTTATTCTGTGAGAATGTTCAAACAAGACAAAATTCACATACTTTCTCTAGTGGCTTCAAGAGATGACTTTGACCCTTTTAACATCTCTCTGTCATATCCTCTAGAATTATAGACTCTTGCATAAAATAATGGGTGCTGTGGCACATGGGAAGCCACCTTCACCAAGGGTAGGGCAACCATTCCCCTGTTAGATTTTATAGGTATTTTGTACTTAAGCAAAGGTGTTTTAGTGGCACTGTGGTTAAGGCATTGGGCTGCTAACCAAAAAGGTTGGAGGTTCAAACCCACCAGCTGTTTCATGGGAGAAAGATGAGGCAGTTTGCTTCCATAAAGATTTAGAGCCTTGGAAACACTATGGGAGTTGCTTTAAGTCAGAATCAACTCGATGGTGGTGGCTTTGGATTTAGTACTTAAGCAAAGCAGGGCCAACATGCTGAGGTGACACTGAGCTGGCTGCCTCTTTTCGGGAGCAATTCTGGCTTCAATATTTTCCCTTATCTTTGTTGTAGCTGTTGTTTTTGTGCAGCATATAACAAGATGAGGAAAACCAGGTTACTAACCACTATGTGCTTCAATATTCTCAGCAATAAAATCAAAGTATTCCACTGGATGGTTGCTATGAACACTACTAATTGGACAATTTTGAAATTATATTTTAAGAAAAAAATATGGTTCCCTTGGCATAAAAATGTTATTATTTAATATTTGGCTAGCCTCACCTTTGAGTAGTTTTACCATCATATATATATATATATTATTTATTTTTTTTTAAAATCCAGTGCCTTTTAAACTGCAAGAGGGAGAAGTCCGCATTATTTCTCTGGAACAGTGCCAGTCCTATTTTGACATGAAGACCATTACCACCCGGATGATATGTGCTGGCTATGAGTCTGGCACAGTGGACTCATGCATGGTAAGTTGCTTCCTAGGGTAACCAAGGTGATTCAGTGCAGCAAAAACTTCAGTGGGTCTCTATAAACTCATTATTAGCAATGCATTTATTACAAGTGTTTAGTAATTTGCAGTGTGTTTTTCTCCACCCAGAGCCACGTGATCCTCCAAACTAATGCCATGCCCTTCAGTTGGGTTGCCTTTAGCTTTCCCTCTACTAGTGGAGAACAGCGTCCTGGTCAGCGACAGGAAGAACAACTGTTGTGGTCCATCTCTCTTGGCCACTTTAGTGGCTAGGACAAATGGAGCTCTAGGGGGAGCTAGCAGTAACTGAGCTTCAACCAGGCTGCCCCCAGGGAGCAGAGGGACACCAGAAGATGTTATCAGTCATCAGGATCATGGTACTGAAGGCCTGTATTTGTGATGGGACTAGCTCTGGCTGAGGGGTTATCACTCTGCCACTGTCTGGGCTCTCACTTGATTGCCTCCATGCCATGTCCTCCAATGTCACTGAACCAACTTAAAGACACTCAAGATTCCTAATCACAGCTCTTTACAGAGCATGTTCCCCTAGCATTTCAGGGAAGTATTTTTATTTTTACTGAATAAACATTCATTGAATATTATACTGGACTTGTTCCAAAGAGGGTTGCCATGAGTCAGAATTAACTCACTGGCAATTGGTTTTTAGTTTACCACTAATCCAACACAATTAAATGACAGTTTTTGATGGTCAGTTGCAGAATGGGCAGATCTGGGGATTGGATATGGTCCAGTGGTGATTCCTTGGATGGTTCCTTAGACTTCCCTTGCAATTCATTGAGGGACCACTCTCCTTTGTGCCCCAAGGCCACAAGTCATCCAGTAGTAGTAGAGGAGCCCTTGTTTTCTTTCCTAGACGCCCAGATTTGACTTCTCGTGTCAAGAAAATTGTTAGAATTGCCATAGTATATAGCCTGGCACAGAAGATTTGTAGCCCAAAAGATCTGGACTGGGTCCGTCTCTGCAAGGAAGAGTAATGTGACCTGGGCTAAGTTATCTAACCTCTTGATGCTTTTCTTATGAGTAAGATGAAGCCCATTCTGTCTAATTTTCAGGGTTTGTTTTTGATGATTAAATGAGTTAATGTGTGTCAAAGCCTTTATCTTTCACATAGCTGTGTGAAATATCTGACACAAACTTCCACACTTACCGTTATATTATTAATATAATATTAGTAACTAATATTAGTATTTCTATCAATTGAGTCGCTATGAGTCGGGGCCGACTCGATGACGGCATATAACAACAACAACATCAATTGAGTGCTTCTGCGCTCCAGGCTGTCTTCAAAATCCGATTTAATCCTCACAGTCACTTCATGTGTTAATATCGTTTTCCCTATTTTGCAGATCAAGACAATGAGCAGTCAGAGAGGTTAGTAACTTGGCTCAGTTGACCCAGCAGGAAGGTGATAAGTGAGGCTAAGCTTCAGGGCCCAAGTACCCAGCTACTATGCCATCTTAGTAGCAATTAGTAATGTGAATATTTCCCTTTTCCCAACATCATTTGGCAGTCTACTAAAAACTATTGCCTTTTAGCACAATTTCAAATTCATCCCTAGATAATTACTAAAGAAGGGAAAGAATGTGATTCTTTGAAAGGGAATTGAAAACCTAGACATAGGCACAGGCATGTTCATGTCATGAGGTCTAATAGAAAATCTGTGGGTAGTGCATACACTTCATGTGCTCAGATGCTCGTTGAAGTCAGATATACTCAGAGGCACCTCAGAAGAAAGGCCTGGTAATCTACTTCTGAAAAATCGTTCTGGTAGCATAGTGCCTAAGGCATTTGACTGCAAACTAGAAGGCTGGGGTTCAAATCCACCAGCCACTTCTCAGAAGGAAGGTTAGGCAATCTACTGCCATAATGATACCACCTCGGAAACCCAAGGATGGGTCACTATGAGTCGGGGTTTTTTTGTTTTGAAAACCCTTTGGGGCACAGTTCCTCTCTGAAATACATATGGTTGCTATGAGTCAGAACTGACTCAGCAGTCATAGCTTTTGGTAGTAGGAAATAGGGCTGACCAATTTCTCTTATCACTGGGAATTTTGCCCTTGTGGATGTCTTAAATGCATACCAGCTGTTCTCTAGCACACTCCATGGTGGAAAACAAAACAAAAAACGAAGTTAACAAAAAGTTGTTTTTTAGTGGGTCTAAAGCAAGAAGGAGCTCTGGTAGCAACGTGCCTAAGGCATCTGACTGCTAACCAGAAGGTTGGTGGTTCAAACCCTCCAGCCATGCTGCAGAAGCAAGACTGGGCCATCAACTTCTATAAAGATCTACCACCTCAGAAACCCAATAGGGGTCCCTTGGAGTTGGAACCAACTTGGTGGCAGTGTTTTTTTTTTTTTTAAAGCAAGATTGTACATCAGGACCTCTGTTATACCGCATACAGTATCTTCCTTAATCGCATCAGAAGGACCCATTGAAAAACAAGTGTGCCTCTTGTCAAGGTCTGTAAATCATGGGGATCAGTTCTAACACCAAACATAAACTTTGGCCTAAAGCCCAGTACTGTGAAAAGGAAAAAAGTCCCAAAGAGACAGAACTAGCCAACTAGTCTGTACATGTATTCTGCTCTTCCTTTAGCATTGCTTCCTCTTCACTTTTTTTTTTTTTACCTAATAAACTGCCACACTAGGTATAGCTCCAAATTGACATCTTAGAATGGCATTTTTAAATTTTCTTTACCTGGAAGTAATTTCTGATGCCTTTGAAGCCCTCCTTACAGCCTTTACATTTTCCTTTTGTGTAAAGTTACTCTTGTAGCCCATGCAGAATTTTGGCTCTTCCGGGACAGAAATAGTTTCTTCCTTCTCAGTATAGACTTTAGCACAGAACTTTGCAAAGACTCACTGTGGTGGTTATGTTTGTGTGTCAACTTGGCTGGACCTGGTGGTAGTTATTCCCCATGATGAGACTGGCAATCAGCTCCATGGTGGGATCTACCTCAAGCAGCTGAGTAGCTGCCTTTGGGATGTGGTCTGCTCCCTGTATGTAAGGAGAAGCCTTGGGGATAGTCTCCAGCTTATGGAATACTTGGACCCTGCACGTAGCTGTGTCGTTGTTCAGCAGGCTGCCATGCTCTGCTGACCTTGGGACTTAGAATGGACTTGAATTAATGGCCTGCCATGTGGTTTGGTAACATCAGGACTATGCCATTTTATTTGTTGACCTTGAGCTTGTTAGCCTCAGCAGCCAGTAGCTGTCTGAGTGAAGAGATGCCTCTAGTTTCAGTGGGCCAGCAGCAAGAGGCAGAGCCTAGAGCCTGGCACTTTGAACTCAGACTGCTAGCCTCCTGAACTATATGAGAATAAACTCCTGTTGGTTAAGGCCATCCCATTTGTGGTATATTTCTTGTCAGAGTGGCACTAGGTAACCAGAACATTCACCAAACCAGATTCACTGCCATCAAGTTGATCCCAACTCGTAGCAACCCCTTTGGGTTTCTGAGGCAGTAAATCTTTAAGGAAGTAGATTGCCCCATCTTCCATTCATGGAGTGGCTGGTGGGTTTGAACTGCCAACCTTCTGGTTACCAGACAAGTGCCTTAGGCACCACACCACCAGAGCTCCTTAACTTTACGAAGAGTAGATGATAAATAATTATTGGGCTAATTTTCTGATCTGGAGTGTAGGCCGACTGCTAAACCTGTCCCTTTTCAATCGTCTCCTGGCATAACAAGTTGTTGGTGTTGGTTAGTGCTGTCAAGTCAGTTGTAACTCATAGCAACCCTATGTATAACAGAATGAAATACTGCCTGGCTCTCCACCATCCTCACATGCATTGCTGTGTTTGAGCCCTTTGTTGCAGCCGTTGTCCATCCATCTCATTGAGACTCTTCCTCTCTTTCCCTGACCCTCTACTTTTCCAAGTATAATGTCCCTCCTCATAATGTGTCCAGAGTACGTCAGACAAAGCAAGCCATCTATGGTTCTGGCTGTACTTCTTGCAAGACAAATTTGTTCGTTCTCCTGGCAGTCCATGGTATATTCAATATTCTTCACAAACACCACAATTTAAAGGCATCAATTCTTCTTTGGTTTTCCTTATTCACTGCCCAGGTTTTGCATGCATGTGAGGCGACTGAAAATACCTTGGCTTCTGTCAAGCACTCCTTAGTCCTCAAAGTGACATCTTTGCTTTTAATACTTTAAAAAAGGAGACTTTTGCAGCAGATTTGCCTGATGCAATATAAGCATAATAAGTAGCTGAACTTAAGTAACTGAGTGTCTTAGTTTTTCTTTTATTTAAGGTAAAAAAAATATTTGAATGTAGGAAATATGTTTAATAAAAATATTTTCAGTAAATTTAGTTTTCTTAAAAAATAAATTCAATCAGCCTTTTAGGTAAAGTAACTTATCAATTCCTTAAAGATCTATGTGTATATTTAGGCTTATTGTTGTGGTTGTGTGCAGCTGAGTCAATTTCACTTCATAGAGACCTTATAGGACAGAGCAGAGCTCTCCTGTACGTAGGGTTTCCTAGGCTGTAGTCTCTATGGGAGCAGATCTCCAGGTCTTCTCTCCCCTGGAGCTTCTGGTGGCTTTAAACTGCTGACCCTTGTGTTAGCAGCCAAGTGCTTACATTGCTTC